TTACAACACTGTTGCCAGAAACGAGAGCAACTGGTCTCTCAAAATCCAAGACATCAGGAATGTCGAGAGTAGAGAGGCTGACTACCCACACACGATTACTACTGTCATATCAGCTCTAGATTATTAAATATGGCGAGCAGATGGCGACTACTGGATGACAAATGTTCTGCATCAGAAACTAGAGCTGATGTGGTCTATGCAATTTTCTGAATCAGAACCCCAAAAAACCAAACTGAATCTAAAGTTGACCAAAAACTTATTTGTAACCCTTTTGGTACTACTGTTGAAGTGGTCCCTGGTCAAAGTCGTCCCTGGTAAAAAAAAAAAAAAAGTTGGGAACCACTGGCCTAGACTGATTCATGAGAATATGCAGTAATAGTTGTAACGTCTTCTGCCCAAAATAGTACTAGTTTTAAATTCACTTTGAATTTCTTTAAGAGAAAAAAGGGGTATATAAGTAAAGACAATGATGATACTACAATAAATCCTGCACATCTGGAAGATCAGTTCATTGTCATATGAACTTATCCTGTCATATGTACAAGAGCCAGCTCCATAAAATGAGTAATATGGACAGTAGAAAAGATTCACCAATACATGAATACATAAAAGATCAAGGTGACATCTCTTCTACATGTACAAAAGCCAGCAGAAGTAGCATGTTACTCCAACCGTAGCAACTTCACAACATCTTTGTCTGTGCCCATGAGAGGCGGTTGTCTTAGTGGGTGTGAGTCACACTGTGTTTGGCACATCAAGCTAGGTTCTCCAATGGAGGGGAATGTCCAGAGGCTCAGGACAAATGGCCAAAAGGATTGCACAGCTGCCCCCAGTTCCACGTGAGCAACTGTCTGAGAATTGTGCTAGGATTATTGCTAAAACAAAGATTAGATGCAACAGAATTATAACTAGGTTTTCCTGTGCAATGTAAAATCCTGAAGAAACATGCAAAAGACTTATTTGGCGTTGCAGCCATCTAAGGGGTTCAATGTTTAAAACACCATAAGGAAATGGAAGGCGAGCAGGGTTTTTCATAACCTTTGACAGTAACGGTGTCCCACAAAATCTCTGCCTGCTCCTGGCAAAGGTAAAGTCATATGAATCCGTTCAAAGTGATGATGCAAAAATATTACACTATCTATAAGAAACCATTGTGCTAGAAATGAGACACATTTGCCAGTGTTTTGAAAAGTAGCCATGCAGAAATATACACAGATCTACTGCCAAAATACTGTCTAAAACTCTTAAAAAGTGAAAAACCATCTTCCTAAAGAATAGCAGTTCTATTTGATCTTGCTGCCTGGCAGCTATTACAGCTAGATGAAAAGAAGCTTTTTCATTAGAGGCTGAAACATTTTGTCATCCCTCACCTAGTGCTTCCAGAAAACACTCGGAAACAAAAGTGGCCTTTGAGCTCCACCTAGAGGACGTTTTATATCAAACTTTTGATTGCTGTGAATCCAAGATTTGACAGCACTCATCAGAAGTTCCACTGAATGGTTCAAATCTCTGTGTGGCCACCTCAGCAGTGAAACATCATAGATTCAGCATTCAAATGGTTTTAATGGTAAAAGATCATTGACCAAAGGTTGATGACAAAGCTAGCTGAATGCCATATTAAATTCCCTTGTGATGATGGGACAAGTGGTTGATCAGAGAAGAAGCACAGGGAACTAGGAATACTCAAACTTTTAATTTTTTAAAATGTTATAGTATGTCAAACCACTTCCCATTCTCACAGATGTCAAAATAGTGTGCAAATATAGTCAAAACAAGAAAATATATTAATGAGGGCTCCAAAACAAAAAACATCTCCACTTAAATGTTCTTTCTAAATTGTCTCCTTTAATGTGTTGTTAACTCTACAGGGGAAAACTACAGTTACCTCTGGTCCTATCTATATTGATTTCATTATGCAGTTTCAAACTGCATTATGTGACAAGGTAGATGGGGTCTCCGGTCAACAAAAGCTTGCATCCAGAAGCTGCTGTGTAAGACTCTACTCTGACCAAAGCAGGAGTCTTCTGATCTTCCATGGATTCATATGTAGTTTTCTCCTTGATACTGCATTCATTTGTTACTCTCAGGTCCTATATCCAATGTTTTCTGCTTTAAACTGGATTATATGAGTCCACACTACCAGATAATCTGGGATAAATAGAAAACCTGGGATCAGATCCTGGTATATAGGGCCTATCTGGAACGGCCCTTGGGCATATTTTTCTCTCTTGGTATATGATCCAGACAGCCTGATCCTCCAGCAATGCAGCCCCCATCTCTAGCCAGCTGTTAGACAAATTGGCTTCTGTAGGTGAATTGGAGGAAAACATCATCTTGCTCTTGACTTTAAGAAGCAACATGCCTTGGGCTGACTGTGCCCAAAATTTGCAGGACAGAGACAATATACATAGACAGCATTTTGGGGTCTTATCAGCAAGTTCTTCATTTGTGATGTGAATCCAGATTCAGAAATGGTTTTACCACCACACACAATTGCAAACCAAAGATCAAATTAACATGCTGCTTCAGATGCCAAGGAGATCTTTCTCAAGTAATGTTGCAGGGAGAGACATATGTGCACCCAGAATCTGGTGGTGTCCCTTTTCTAGCACAAATGGCATTGTGCTTGCAGGTATACTGATCTACACCATGCACAAGTAGAGAAGCAAAGAAAAATTTAAGTTGTGTAACCAAATGTGAAATGAGTGGTATCCTGTGCTGAAGTACTGACTGCATACCCAGTTGTACAACCAGTTACAGAACCACTTGCTTAATTCTTTGTACAACAGTTGTATAAGAAGAAGGATGCCTAGCAGATCACACAAACAAAAGTACCACTACTCGTGAAAATGAAAAAACTCATTGGAGGACATCTATTGCACTATTTTCCTTTGCTAATGCTCTTAGGCCCAACAGTGTGTTTCCATGAGCACCAATTCACAACGTTCTAAAAATTAAAACAGCAACATTTCTAAAAGAATTGGAAGTGGGAGCATGTTGCTAATATCACTGGTGCAAAGTACTAGCATCAAAAATAGTCTGTCTGTCCCGTTCCCCCCTCCCCAGTTTCTTCACCCATGCAGAAAACATGGAGAATCACCTTCAAAACTAAGCTTTCCTTAGAAAACAGCATCAGTCCTATCAACCGATATCTACCATTTCCAAATAAAATTGTGGCACCTATCTTGACACTCCCCGCACATTCTGTAACTCCATTACATAAATATCTTCAATTCTGTGCTCTTCAATAAGCTCCCATTTTGTAAATAATGCTCTTTCTTGCCCAGTTTTACCTTCTAGTTTTACTGATTTTTACCTCTGATATAGTGCATTTTCCCCTAGAAAATATTGCCTGGTTTACTGGCACAGGAAGTCTGTTACACCAGGTGATAATGGTTTTAGATTTTAAAAATTTGGCCTCTTTTGCAATCAGAGCACATCATCATAAAAACCGCAGCTGGAAAGAACTCTTAAGGACCATCAACCCCAAATTCCTGCAGGGAGTCTAGACCTTAATATCCCTGTTGGAAAACTGATTATATGCTCCCCTTTAAAAAGCCAGGGCAGGGGGTGGAGGGAGAGCAGTGAATGCATATAATGAATGCTACTACATGCATGTGATGTGGAAATAGTTAACTCTCTGTTTTCTTTATCAATCTGAAACCTTTTAGAAAATCGGTGCCAAAGCCAACCTATTTTCATTACAATGCCTTTTAAATGCACAGTACATATTAAACTCTTCCCTGAATTTTAGTAATGCTGGGCAAGGCAGTATTAAAATGATCAAAAACAATACAAACAGTGTAAGAAATGGCTTCTTCAGCAAAGATCTCACCTTTGTATATGTGTGTGTGTGTGTGTGCATACCTTCAAGTTACTAGCTGAATTAGTGTGGCCCCATTTATTTCACAGAGGTTTCTTATACAATAATTACTCAAGAGGTGAATTGCCAGTTCCTTTCTCTGAAATATTAGCTCCCATTCAAGAAATAACCAGAACTGGACCTGCTAAGCTTTGAGATCAGACAGGAAGTGGATTTTTTTGTGTATTTAGGCACCTGCACTCACTGCTAAAGGTAAAGGTAAAGGTTTCCCCTTGACATTAAGTCTAATTGTGTCCGACTCCTGGGAGGTATGCTCGTCTCCTAAGCTAAAGAACCAGAATTGTCAATAGATGCCACCAAGATCATGTGGCCAGCATGGCTGCATGGAGTACTGTTACCTTCCTGCAGAAGCAATGCCTATTGATTTACTCATATTTGCATGTTTGCCAACTGCTAGGTTGGCAGGAGCTGGGCCTAACAGCAGGAGCACACCTTGCTACCCGGATTTGAACCGCCAACCTTTTAGTCAGCAAGTTCAGCAGCTCAGCAGATTAACCCACTGAACCACCAGAGGGCCTACTTCCCTTGTATTAGCCAAGTAAAGGCAAGGGGCAATCAAAAACCTGATGGCTGGCACCTCTTCAATGAACTTGTCCACATCCTTGGGCAGTTACATTTCTTTATCATTTGCTTCATCCTTCCTTCCATCCCTCTGCCAATCTCCAATTCTTTTCTTGGTTAGCTAGAAATGTATCACTTTGGAAACTGTGTGACCAAAACCTCAAACTGTTTTAAATCCATCCACCTTAAATCCTGTTTATTTTCACAGGGCCTCAGTATACCAAATTTCCTCTGGATTGTACCTAGCATATTAGGCAGAAAATTAGGCACATATGCAACAGAGCAGGGGTTTTGTAATACACCCTGTAACAGTAAGGTCGGCACAATGCAACTGCCATCTATTGTGCCATTCTTTCCCAATGTCACTTGCATCCCTACTGCTGAAATTCTCTCAAATGTTGCCAAATAAGTGCTTCTGTAATTAGGAGCCTTTGTTCTCTTGGGGATTAGTGTCACAGTCAATAATTGAACACTGCATCAGAAAGAAGAGGAGGAAACAAATCTGACATGCAAACAATGAGGAGTTGTCCTACTGTCCTGCCACTCCGATACTTACAGTTAACATGGCAAACATTAGCTGGCAAACATTGAAAGCATGCCTCCAGTTGTGATAGAGTACCATTCGATAATTCTTCCTCACTGTCAAAAGCCACCTACACAGCGTCTGAAATGGAAAAGTACAAACCGCATCAGGAGCACTAACGGGTACAAATGGACCACGACTGCCGCCAAGACAAAAGCAGCAGATTATCTTCACAGAGCAGATGGTTACCTCATAGTCAATTTTAAATTTCTGAACCATTCCAAGCTCCATGAACATCCGCAGGGCTGCCGTTATCATTGCGTCCATGTCGAGGGAGAAGTCATCAAAATGGATGTCGTCTATGCCAAGCTCTGTCACAAGTGGAAGGTTTGCTGCCTGGAATTACCCAAAAACAATAAGAAACTTTGTTGGGTTCAGCTCTCTCTCTCTCTCTCAGAATGAACATTGCCTAAATCGTCTAGACAGCATAAAGACCCTACATGGCAATTACAAATGTCTGGTGCAGATCTGGGCAAAGAAAAGAATGGGAGTAGATAATCTGAACAGTAAAGTTGCTTTATCGTTGTGTTGAAACCTAAGGGCACAATCCAACCACGCCATGCTCCATCAAAGGAAGATTGCCTACAAATTTAAATGATCTTGCAGCTTGACAAATGGATGCTGTGCTAAAGTTGTGCTTAGGAAAACTACTTCTTTCTGCTTCCATTCTCAGGAATCGGGAGAATAGTGAAAACTCCCATTTATTCTATGTTTATTTTGTTGCAACTACACGGGTTAGAAGAGAACCTGATGTGCATGAACCACGTGTGTTCAGCAAAAGTAATATCCAGGCCATTCTTTGCAAGTGATGTTTTACCAGCTTCTTCTTTTTTTTACAATATGTGTAAGGGGAAAGTTGTGTATAAAGTGTCCCTAAGACATAAACATTTTAGGAGATACCTAAAGGAGATACAATCAGCTTGCAATGGTTGATGGGTTAGCTGTTAGATCTGAGAGGAAAATGACAAAGGAAGAATTCATCATGTTCGTAAAGTTACAACACAGGTACCATCAGGTGAATCACTGCACCAGTGCAGGTGGCTGTTTCACCAAGGATGATTGCATCTAACTTTCTGCGGTTGCACAATAGCTTCAGAAACTACAAATTAAGCCATGCTATGTATACCAGTATACAACTATGTACACCAGTGTTTCTCAAACTCTGCTCCTCCAGGTGTTTTGGACTTCAGCTCCCAGAAATCCCAGACTGTTTACCAGCTGTTAAAAATTGTGGGAGCTGAAGTCCAAAACATCTGGAGGAGTAGAATTTGAGAAACACAGATTTATGCAATTTCTTCCATGCTGGGTGTTCAAACTCATCAGTCTAGTCTGAAGTTAAAATGGAAGCAAATTGTGCAAGCTATAGATATAAATACAATCTACCTCGTGCAAATGTCTTTTCAGACATTACAAGTAAATACTGGAAAGTAAGCAAAACTCATAGTAACCCAGTGATTCCGGCCATGAAAGCCTTTGACAACACATGAAATCCTGAATATATCGAACACAAAGTGCAGGAAGCTGTTAGCACTTGTTTGTATTACCAAGTGCTTCTCTGGGTGAAATGGGCAAAAACGTGACAATAAAATGCTAACACTGGAAAATTTTCAAAAGTTCAATACTGAGTTTCTCAAATGGAAAAATAACAATATATCTTTAAAACCTGATCAAGATCTGACTGAAAAACAAAACAAGTGGAGAGACAATTTTCCTACGTCTGCCTTTATATTTATAAGGTTTTACCACCTTATATTTAACCAAGAGTGCCATAATCCAAAATAATCACTGAATTAATAGCCACAAGGTAACATTTGTATAAAATAACCATTTGCTTTACAACTGTAATAAAAGAAATGGCAGAATGGCAGAATTATGTATGAAGGTTGGAAGTAATTTGAATAATGTAGAAAAGGAGAAATATTATTATGCATGCAACATCTAGTGTCATTCTCCTACATCTGAAGTGAAGCACAGTAAGCTTATAAAGAAAAGAATGACAGAAATTACAGCAGTATTTTTAAAAGACACCTTAAGATATGTTATTAAAATGTATGCTTAAAATCCCAGCTAATCATAAAAGGGTTCTCAGTGTTCAAAGAGAAACTGTATTATGAACTGGCAAAATTATTGTCATTCCTCCAGATAGCAGGATGGAAGGAGCATCCATTCATTTCAGGGACTCCTAAAGGAAGAGAAGTCATTTACTGGACACAATCCAGAAGGTGTTATTCACAGTGAAATCCCACAGAATAGAAAATAGTGGTGCTGGAATTAAGCACTGAGCAAACACAATATGGGTAATGAACCAAACTCTGAGGTGTAACGTATATACTCACATATAAGTCAACTGCATGTATAACTAATTTCTTCAACAGTAAGATGTCATCAATTGTAAGGTGCACCCTAATTTCAGTACAACCATCACCAAAATAAAATACACTTGCAATTCTAAGACACACATCATTTTAGAGATGTTTATCTAGGGGGAAAAGTCTCTTAAAATTGAAGAAATACAGTAAGTCAAGGCTAGGTTTTGGGCCCAAAATTGCGGGTTTAGATATGACCCATGGATACATCAAGGATCATTCCATGGAAAGGGGGAAATGTCAGCACTATCTCAAGGGACCAGCTGCCTATGGCCACTGCAACCATTTCCCTGCCAAAGTATTTAAAATGGCCAGAAGCAGTGCAATGGAGGAGAGGATAGGGTCTGTGTTTCTTTTAGGTTCTCTCAAGATGGGCCAAGTCTTCTTCTTCCTCCTTCTCCTTCTCCTCCCTCCCCCTCCCCTCCTCTAAAAGCAGTACCTATTTTACCTACTTGCATTTCTGTTTTCGACCTACTATCTGGGCAAATGTGCTGAGGCTAACAGCGGGTGCTCACCCTGACCCAGGCTCAAATTGCTGACCTTCCGATCTACAGGATTTTTCTGCAGCACAGCAGTTCAGTCTGCTGTGTTAAGCTCGGGCCACTCTACTCAGAGAAGACAGTGGTTCCTATTTTAAATCAGAGTTAAGTTGCAGTACTTCATTGACCCATACAGAAGTAGCCTCATATTTTTGAGGAAAAATGACTAAGATTTCTATATTTTTACAAAAATATACACAGGATATCTTACTCACCCACTTCCACACTTCTTTGACCCCCAGTATTTGTTGGAAACCAGCTGAACAGAAGCAAAGCCTGCTTAAATAATCTCATTCAATGATAAGGAGCAAATGAGAATAAAATAGGAAAGAAACCGGGTTTGTATCAAGTTTCGCCCTTATTAATTACCATGTAGGGCATAGTCCACCAGGACATTTCTACTCTGTCTTAGGAGCTGTCTACACCAGCAAAATAAATCAGGAATAATTCGGATTGTTTCACTGCAGAGCTGCCCTGACTTCCTCTCTCTTAACAACACACCTACTCATAACACTGACGTATTGATTCTCAGATTGGGGCTGCTTTTGTCCTTCTTCTCCTTGGGGTCTCCTGCCTGTTCCCAATTATGCCCAGACATAAATGAGATCAATGGTGAGGAAGTAGACCAGGTTTCACTATGACTGCATTTAAAAAAACGCAGGCTGTTGAATGAGATTCTACTCTATCCAATCCTACTGTGGCTATGTATGCCTGCCTACAACAGACAAAGCAGACAGCAGTTCCTCCAAAATCCATTATTGAACAGAAAACAGGAGAAGAAGATAACCTGCCAATATGTTATATAAGTTTAATATAATCATGCCTGGATACATTTTAAGAGAAGCCTTCCAAAGGACTCTAGAGGGATCAAAATGTTTTGGACTTACCAGAATGTGCATTGCAAGGCAAGTTGTTTCAGTGTACGTATGTATGCTTTGAAAAAAATGTTAGTGAAACATGTTGAGTGGCTCCTCTATTTGTGGGCTAGTACCCAATCTCAATTATATCCATGTTATTTCTGCAAATGATACTAAATACTCTGTTAAAGAAGTCCAGGAACACAACTACTTTGTTAACTGAGGTAAACCTGTCTTTTTAACTGATATGTTGCTCACTGTGAAATGCTATATATATATAGGACCCAAATAATTCATATTTTTGTCTCAGGCTAGACATATCTCAGCAGATTGGATTCCAACTGCACACATGTTTACCTCTCTCCCTCCCTCTCTGAAGTGACTGTGTATCTAATTGGCATAGCCAAGGGATATCTTAGCACCCAGAGCAAACTTAGTTTTAAAGGCCTCCATCTGTTACTACGTCCTGCTGACTGATGGTGTCTCTCTGCCCTTCACACTGCTGAATCAGCACTGCCTCATGATAGATCTGCAGTGGCACAAGTAGGACATTAGTCTCCAAAGGGAACTTTCTAAGACAATTTAAAGTAAACGAGCAAATGGGGACCAGAATAAAGGAAGAGAGTGGGCATGTGGCTTCTCTTCTGTTCCAGATCGGGACTCACTCTTGCTTTCTTGAAACTTAGGTTGAAAATGATTACTTTCGTTCACACATGGCCAGGCATTGAATCTGTGACTCCTTATCCATAAATTGTGTGATACAATAAATTAAGTTTTTAGCATAACAATAATATACTGCTCATGTACGTTTAGTTAAAAAAACACATCATGGTGGAAAAATACAGGATTTGGACTGAAAAGAAATAGAATGTCATTTAGAGGTATGTGTCTATCAGTGCTTTTATGTTTCTTCATTTCAACCTACTCTACTAGGGCTACATCTATATCATTATCCATCTATGTGCCACATTTTTCCTTTTTTGATTTGTTCCTTACTGTGTTTCGGTGTCCAAAGCACTAATCATGCACCCACTTGGCATTTTCTTATTATTATTCTGACTTCAATTTACAAAATATCTCCAAACAACACAGACTCACACGATTATCTACCTCTATTAGATTGGCTGGAATTCAACACTGGAATGAGGCAAAAGCTTTGTGGGATTTGCATATAGCCAAGGAAGGATTGCAGCAGCAATGGGAATAATGTGGGCCTCCAGATGTAACTGTATTGAAAGTCCCAGCAGCCCCATCCAGCATGGTAAGGAATTATTAGAACTAGCTCTGGAGGATCACATAATTCTGTCCACCGATATACTACAATACATGTACGTGTGTTGTGTGCATGTATGTCATCATGCCATGCTGCATATTATTCTGTACAGGTTGAGTATCCCTTATCTGAAATAACGGGGACCAGAAGTGTATTTTGGATTCTGGAATATGTGCATACACATATAATGTATGCAAATATTAAACGTGGGGCCCATATCTAATCATGACACTTCATATGCATCTTATGCACATAGCCTGAAGGTAATGTGACAAAGTTTTAAATAATTTTGTACATGAAA